TTCTTTTTTCTTTCTTTTTTTTCTTTCTTTTTTTCTTTTTTTTTCCTTTTTTTTTTTTTTCTTTTTTTTTTTTTGGCCGCCCAAGGGGGGGGTTTAAACCCCCTAAACCCCCCCCCCCCGTAGATCCGCGCCTGGGTAAGTGTATAACATAGACACGGGCAGACAGGCGCGGATCCAGGATTTTCTCTTTTTTTTTGCTCCCGAAAATTCGCTCAGTGAGAGGGGGGGGGGGGGGGGGGAGTAGTGAGCACATTTTTTTTTTTTTTTTGGGGGGGGGGGGTCCTCTTAAATTAAACAAATTGTACCCCTCCCCCCTTGAGCGCCAGGGGGGGGGGCAACCCCCCCCCCCAAAAAAAAGGTAAGAATCACGTGTTTTTCCATGATTTTTTTTTCTCAAGGGGGGGGGGGGGCCGGGGCCGCCCTCCCCCCCCCCCCCCCCCCCCCCCCTGGATCCGCCACTGCGGGCAGATGCGGGCAGATGTAGACGTATGATCAAGACACTAAAATACAATATAAGGGATTTGTTGATATTTTGAATGTGTTTTTTATTACGAACAAATAGATCAGTATCAAATACCCCCTGATATTAAGTTTTGATAGAAGCAGAAAAATGAGAGAAACAAATAAGTGAAAGTTTGAGCAATATCCGATTAAAACTAGGAAAGTTATGATTATTTAAGTTGCGATCAATCAAACACAAATTGGCATCTCTGAGATGAATCTTGCGAGGTCCTTCCCATTTGCTCTGTTAATACAAAAATCAGAAATGTCTATTTTCCCTCAAAAATTATATTCAATCATACATTCACCCTAATTATAATTCAACATAATTATTGCAAATATGTGTCTATACAACCCTTGTAATTCTGAATGAAACAAATCTATGACTTCATCAATGGAGTAAGAAAATTAAAATTGATGACATCTTATATAATGTACAGAGCAAAATCAGCAAATGAGAGAGGCAAGCAAATGAAAGGTTGTTGTGCTTCATTGATTACAATTTCAGCACTGGCGTACTGGGGGGGGGGGGGGGAGGGGGCTTGAAGCGCCAGCCCCCCCCCCCCCCCCCCCCCCCCCCCCCCCCCCCCAAAAAAAAAAAAAAAAAAAAAAAATTGAACCATGACAAGTGATGTATAAATGTTCGTGATATTTCAACAAAATGCTAGTTTCTCCTTTAATTCTTGCAAACTGACCCATTCCCAAATAGCCAGGAAGAGCATATGTTTTTTTATAGTCAATAAGGGCCTTATAGTGGCCTCTAACATGCTACCCACCACTCGGGCTGAGCATGCACAGATATGCGAACTGCACATATAGTGGGGGAAATTGAATTCAGACAAGATTAAGAGTAGAAAACGGTACAACGAATCGTCTTCATTCTCTAATAATTTAATGAAACGGCAAAGCTTCCACGCTTCGCGCGGGAGGGGGGGAATTGAAGTCAGACTAGGATTAAGAGTCGAGAACGGTACAACATATCGTCTTTCTCTAATGATTTGATGAAACGCGAAAATGATTTCAGACAAGGATTTAGAGTAATAATCAAATGAAACAACAAAGCTTCCGTGCTTCGCGTGGGAGGGGAAAAACTGAATTCAGACAAAGACACGATAAAATGAATCGTCTTTCTCTATAAATTTAATGAAACGTGAAAGCTTCCGCGCTTCGCGCAGGATGGGCGAAAATGAATTGAGACAAGGGTGAAGAGTAATAATTTATTGAAACGTCAAAGTTTCCGCATTGGGGAAATTGAATTCAGACAAGATTAAGAGTAGAGAACGGTACAACGAATCGCCTTCTTTCTCTAATAATTTAATGAAACGGCAAAGCTTCTGCGCTTCGTGCGGGATCGAGGGGGAGGGGGACTAAATTCAGACAAGGATTAAGAGTCGAGACCGGTACAATGGATCGTCTTCTTTCTCTAATAATTAAATGAAACGTCATAGCTTTCGCGCGGGAGAAGCGAAACAAGAATTAAGAATCGAGAACGGTACAACGGATCGTCTTCTTTCTCTAATAATTTAATGAAGTGCCAAGGCTTCCGCGCTTCGCGCGGGAGGGGGGAAACTGAATTCAGACAAGGATTAAGAGTAATAATGTATTGAAACGTCAAAGCTTCTGCGCTTCGTGCGGGAGGGGGGAAATGAATTCAGACAAGGATTAATAGTCGGGACTGGTACAATGAATCGTCTTCTTTCTCTAATTATTAAATGAAACGTCATAGGGAGGGGCGAAACAAGAAGAGTCGAGAACGGTACAACGGATCGTCTTTTTCTCCAATAATTTAATGAAGTGTCAAAGCTTCCGCGCTGCGCGCGGGAGGGGGGGGGGGGGGAACTGAAAAAATAAATTAGTTCCTCGCCCCGGGTTTATAGGGTTAAAATTGAAGGCATTTGGACATTGGTATTTTTATATTTGTTGGTATTTGGTGGCTCGTTTTGTCGGTAATCGTTGGCCGCTACACCCTCCCCCCTCCCCCATTTTAAAAAGATCTAGCCGCGCCCCCGATAACGACACAGTTTATACACTCGAGATAAAAGTACCGGACCACCGTCTTTGTGCATTGTGCGGCATCAAAGCATAATTTATACAACGTCTCACGATTCGACAGATCACTTTTCTCTAACTTCTAACGCATCCCCTCCCGCGCGAAGCGCGGAACCTTTGCCGTTTCATTAAATTATTAGAGAAAGAAGACGATTCGTTGTACCGTGTTTTACTCTTAATCTTGTCTCAATTCAAGAAGGCCTTTTTTTTCCAGGAAGTGCCGGTGGACATTAATGCGCAAAATGTGGTTCTCAAATTGCAAAAGTTCCCTACTCTTGAAAGGGGTAGGAGATAGGAGATAACAATTTAACGTCATATTATTCCAGGAAGTGTCTGAAAATGTGCCTAATTTGGTTCTAAAATTGCAAATGCTTCTTACTCTGGGAGGGGGCCGGAACCCACACCCAGATCCACCCCCTGCTTGGTCGCTCCACTCCCTCGCCGTTAAAGCCTCGTTCTGTCGCTTCATCGTTTTACATATATTTCACCCCATGCCATTTTGTGCCCCCCCCCCCCGCAATGAAATTCCTTGATCCGCCACTGATGCCCATACCTCTAGACCCCACTTTGAGAAACGTTCAGCGGGGACTGCATGTTAGAGTGGGGATATTCGGATTTTTGTCAGCCCCCCAAACGTTTTTGCTCATTACGCCAGTGAATTTCAGACATTCCTAACCTGAATAGTTTTAATCGGATTTTGTTCAAACTTTCACTAAACTGCTTATCTCATTTTCTGCTTTTATGAAAACCAACTTAATATTAGGGCCTTAAATATCCCTTTCCCTTAAATATCGAATAAATTAGATTTTGTGTAGTAATTTCGCCCTTCCTTGTGTATAAACAGAAACAACCTCGCTATCTGTAGAAAATCCAGATGTTGCTTTCCAAACGCTGATTTTTATTCAGGTGACCTTACAGCAAGGAATATTCCTACTCCCTTGTATGAGAATAGATATTAAAGTAATTTTGTAAAAATCTTTGATATTAACAGCTTAAGTTTTGAGAGGAAATTTTCTATCGTGTTTCTATTTTTCTATTGACTTTCTATCGATATCTGTATAGATGAACGCGACTTAGGTAATGCGGTGAAAAAACCCAATAACAAGTCGCTCGAATTCGTTCGTTACCATAGCAATTTATTTAACGTCGGCTTAATCTTCAAAATGTATTCTCCATCGAAAACTGTCTTACCTGTATATGGGAAATATAATAACGCACCGAACGAGTATTATTTGAGTTAGCATGTTACCAAGCAAGCTGTTTTACAGCTGTATTCGAGGCTTTAATATCCATAACCTCTCTCTCTCTCTCGCTCCCACTCCTTTCCTCTCTTTTATTCAAGTTCAATCTCTATAATTACGAATATATTTTTCATTCACGTGAAACAACGATGGATTTATAAATAAGCAGTATAATGATAATTTCATGAAACTTGAAAGGAGAAAAGGAAAATCACTTTTCTATAATACCTATTTTTACATGATAATATACAAATCTATGGGTTATGATCCAGATTCCAGTGCGTATTTTTCTATTTGCACAGCTGGGGCCTGTTTCATAAAACGTTTTATCTATAACAACTGCTAAATTTCTATGACAAATTCGCTCTCAGCCAATCACATGCCATGATTTCAGTAGCTTATAACAGTAGTTTGTAACTTGTTATTGATAACAAGTTTGCTCTCAGCCAATCAGATGCCTTGATTTCAGTAGCTTATAACAGTAGCTTGTAACTTGTTATCTATAACAAATGCTAAATATCTATGAAAAATTTGCTCTCAGCCAATCAAATGCCGTGATTTCAGTAGCTTATAACAGCTTGTAACTTGTTATTGATATCAAGTTTTATGAAACAGGATCCTGGTCTATGTTGACAGTGAAAATAAACGTAGATGGAGAAATAATTGAAAATCCACAAAATCTATATAGCAAATGCGTTTAATGAATATTTTGTTGGTATAGGCCCAAATCTTGCCAATGTCATTCCCGACGCTTCTAAACATTTTACAGATTTTCTCAATGATCCTAACCCAAATTCAACTTATATGACATGCACCTACTTATATGAAACAGCAGTTGCAGGCATCAGGCCATGATAATATTAGTAACATATTGCTTTCCAGTAGGTTCCTGTTTCATTTCATAATTTTGAACTTACTTTGTCAACTATGTTCTTTATTGTGCAAACAATTGATATACAGTGTATGAAATGGAATAAATTCGGATCAATCAATAGTCATGATCGACTTTTATCATGTATTTTTTTTTTTTTGGTTTGTTTATAAATGACATCCTTTTATAACGTTGGCTTACATATAACATCTATTTATTTACAAATGATCAGCTCTTTGTCCTCGTCAACTAGGATTTATACGTTTAGCCAATTTTCCCATCCCATTGTTATCTTTCCTGCGTTAAATTCCATCTCTCATTTTCTACCACCTTTGCAGATTTGTCTTCTTCTTGATTGACTTGTAGCACGCCCCCAATGCCATGTCTAGTCAATCAGATGGGTTAATGATGGCACTGCAGGACCTGTCAACGTATGCAGGGTTATCCCGTCACAGGCGCATTAAGCTGTATTTCCTTGGGATGGTACTATTCAATGCCTGCCTCTATCTCATCATCTACCGTGGACATAAAGACGTCGTTACTGGGAGGCAGGTATCCACCTCCAAACCACATGACCTGGGTGTCATCTCGTCACGTGACCTTAGTAAAGTGGCTTGTGACCCGGAAGTGATCAAGGATATTGTTCGACACCATGGTGAGAATGCTAAAGAGCAAGAAGGGAAGCTGTGTCCCAAGAACACCAAGACTGGAGAAGAACCTTCAAGAGGATTTCTCTCAAGGTTCCTAGAATGGTGGCACTCTGGATCAGAGGATAATAGTACAAACACGCACAGGAGTCTTAGCGCTTCACATGACTATAACCTGGTCTTGAATGAACCAGAAGTGTGTAGGACTAAAGGCCGAAATGAAACCGATGTCTTTTTACTTGTGTGTGTGTTTACAATCCATTCGAATTTTGAAAGGCGGAAAGCTATAAGGGAAACATGGGGGTCGCAGAAGATCGTAAGGGGCAAACAGATAATGACGCTGTTTATGCTCGGTAAGTCAAAGAACCAGTATCATCAAAGACTTGTCGAATTGGAGAGTAAGAGACACGGTGATATAATTATGGAAGACTTCGTGGATTCTTATCAGAATCTAACTCTGAAGACTATTATGACAATGAAATGGACCAGCCAGTACTGTTCGGATGTTAATTATGTCATGAAAACAGACGATGACATGTATATCAATTATGACGCTTTGATTACGCATCTAACGGACCCAGAGACACCAAAGACAAAGCATTTTGTAGGAAATAAGTTCTCCGGGAACGCACCGATTCGAAACCCGAAAAGCAAGTGGTATGTTCCGAAGAAGATGTATTCGAATCCGCGTTACCCGTCCTTTTGTTCGGGTACCGGTTATGTCATGTCCGGTGACATCCCAGCTCGCGCTTATAACATGTCACTGCATACACGATTTCTCTATTTAGAAGATGTATACATGGGACTATGTATGAAGAAGTTAAAGATTAAAATGACTGGACATTCTGGATTCCATATCGACAACCAACCATACAAGTACTGCGCTTATAAGCGAATGATTACGACACACGGGAAAACGACGACAGAGATGTATAGAATATGGGAGGATCAGGGATCGCGAGCTGGAACGATATGTGTCGGCATCCACAAACCATTGCATAGACATTAATGGGAGTCATCGCAAATATACGCCAGTCACAAAAAAGAGACTGACACGTGTTTTACTGATCAAAGAAATCACATGAGTATGGCTAATATCTTGTCGATTCTCGGTGGGATTTGAAGCAAAGTGACTGAGTCATGAACGGAGTATACTGTATATCGTTAGCGAGTATTTTGGAGAAGTGATTTATGGAACCCAATATGTTCCTATTGCCTATTGATAGCTAATGACACTGCCCTCTAAAAGCCAAGCTCAGTCGTTTTGTAAGTGTCTTCGAAGTGAATGAATGCTGTACAAGACCTCTCACATAAAGAGTTAACATTCCAAAGATAAAAGGCTAGACTGTGTGATCGTGATTGGTTGAAAGTCAAGATACAAACGTGTACGTTTGATTCATTGATTGTACCTTTTGAATAGTTTATGCGAGAGACCTCTGTTCGTCTTTTGGATGTAGGATATATTCCAAAATACTGTGTGCTGGTTTACCTCTGCAAGCTTTTACACAGGGTCTATTATTAAATACCTACACAACTCCAAGTGATGTTATGCCAACTCCTTTAATGGTGCTATGGTTATCGTTATTTTTTTTTTTTTTTAGAATTCTGCTTATATTGGATTCATTATGAAGCATTATAAAGGAGATATAATCTTGTTTTGGGTACTTTGCAATGTTGTACCATAATGTACATGGGCTTTACATATTTATTAACTGAAGTGATATTATTGCCTAGTCGATAGTACTGTGGAATATAATATTTTGTGCGTTAATTTGTTATGGACAAATAAAAATGTATATTTATATTATCTTTATCATGAAATTGTTGTGTATCATAGTTTCCTTTTAAGCCCCTCCCATTGCTAGGCAACTAAAGCTTTAAGTGTGCCACATGTATCAAGCTGTATTTAATGAATGCTATCGCAGCCATGCATACACGTCTAATGGACGCATTGTTGGACACATGTTCCTTGTGAATTGTGATGATTCAGTTTCAAGGCTGGTATAATAATTCGTAAATGATGGTGCTTCTAATGTCTCTTAGTATTATGTGTATACTTACATGTAGTCGCGGTAGAGGTAGGGCTTCCTGATATGGTATTAGTCATGTCGAATGAACAGGTGTCGGAGAGGTTTCCTCCTCGTCATGTAAGTATCAGATCAAATGCTGGAAATAGCCGAATATTGCCGAATAAAGCCGAATATAGCTGAATATTGAAACGAAATGACGTTAATTCAAAGCACAAGATGGTAACCAAGAATATAAATATGGGGGTTGAGAATTATCAAAATACATGACATTTGAAAATAACTGCATGTACTGCCAATTATGTTTTAAGGTCAATTTAGCAAACGCAGATTAAGTTTTTCAGATAGGAATTAAAATTCGTATATATTTCGTTTCAAGCTCTTTTAGGGGTGAAAGGAGTGTTAGCCAAATGGGTCAAGAATTTTGTTAGCAAATTTGTTACAATAAAAAAAAAGATTTTTTGTTGATATTTAAGATTTGCCAACAAATGTTGAAAATTAAAAAGAAATTCCGAACTGAATTTTCATAGTGGTGTCGCACACGCACATATTTACACGCCGACACACCTCTCTTTTTGTAATGTACTGCCCTAAACATTATTTAACGATTAAAGTTTAGCTTGCGACTTCCAAGTTTTTCTTTCCATACTTTAAAACCAAAATGCCACCCTCACGAGAATACTTTCTAAACGTCAGAGGTATCATGAGAAGTGTGCATACATTATGAGAGTAACCTGGTCTACTTCAAAGCGGAAATGAGTAGTCATTGCCTGCCACAACCTGTCTAATGATCATCTCCAATACGTCACGGATGCATTTTTATAGAGAAGGTGATATTTATAAGAATACCCGGTATGAAGCGAACCTTTCATGGACCCCGAGTATCTCCCTCTATTAACTCACCTGTTTGAGCAAAGAGAGGGAGAGAGAGAGGGGGGTGGAGGTTGGGAGGGGGACAAGGGTAACGGGAGTGGATACAGACAGGACGAGGGGGGGGGGGGGGGTTGAAAGAGGGAATCTTACACATTAAATACATGGCAGGTGCATGGAAGGGTATCGTGTCATAATTATATTATACAAGTATATAGGAATAACAACTGGTGTAATTTTGAAAGAAACATAACGTTCTAACGCGAACCAGACGAACTTGTCTGTTTTACATGACATCTGTTCTGTGGCCCAAGGTTATTTTTCAACTGCAAGTGAAAATCTCTTCATTGTTCTTCTTCCTAGTTCGTCCTATATTCTATCAACCATAGAGGGGCTTGGAAGAAGGCCTAATTCAAAGCGGAAAGCCGAAAGGTTCGGGGGATAAATCATTCACTTTGGTGAACAAAAGATGTTCTGGAAAAGCTGTCATTTGCCGAGTTTGCCAACATTCCTATCTATTCATTGTAATAGTAATTCAGTTTTAATTAACAATCGTAATGCGTTAGTGTCATGGCAATCGACTCGTTTTACAGGTCAATAAAGGCATTTATAATTTTTATGTAGACATATTTCAAAAAGGTTTATCTAGTGATTTAGGAAAAGATTCATTTCGTTCATCAGATGCATAGGTAAATGAAATAGTAGAACGACGAGTTCCCAAACTCCATTGGTAAAGTAATGTTATAACCATGCTGTACTTATTAACGTCGCGAAATAAATTGTTTGTGCTTCGCTCAGTTCTGTATTACATGTTGGTGTTGAATCGAACATCTACTTGCTCTTTGGCTGAAAAAGTATTACAAAGATACAATCTAAATTCTATCATCTATAAATGCTTTATGTCTGTGACATTCTTATTGTATTGCCATAATTGCTACTCGCTATGTATTAATATATTTTGTATCTTTCATGTGTAATAAAAATAACCAATGACGCTAAACATTTTCACAAATGTGTTTTCTTTCCAGATTTGTTAAATCGTTGCAGTTGTTCCGCTCTGAGATCTGGTTACATGTTTCTATTCGATCCTATCGTCATTAACATTCAAACAAATTACAAGAAAATTAGTTATAAAAGAAACATACGTTTATCAAGCGCATAATTATTATGTCCTTTGTTTCTCAGCGACTGACACATTAGATGCAATAAACATGATCTAAAATGTGATCATCAATGATATTTACAAAAACAAATATACATGTAGATAACATGTAATGTATTGCATGAAAGAGTGAAGTGAGAGTTCAGAATTAGCATTTCCTCAATTTCCTCAATGCTCCCATGATGTTAGTAGGATGTATAGCGCTGCAGATACAATTTACCTTGTTCACAATAGATTAGTGAAAAGGAAAATGTAAAATCAATCAAATGATGTTTAAAAAAGCATAACATATATAACTCTTTATATCAGAACTACACATAATTGTGTATAAGCCTATGGGACGATACACAAACCTGTTGCATGAATCGATTCACTCCAGTTATATTTTGTCATATTTGATTATGTTTGCATTTGAATCGTACTCCATCTCGGGAGATTTTTTTTCTTCTTCTAAGTTATTAGTCGACCTCAACATAAAAGGCATGAACTAGGGCCTAGGTCACAAATAATTTTCCACCTTTCCCAGAGCTTGACCTTCTCTTTAATCCTAACTGTCTTGTAGAATAACTGACCTTTTTATACGTCCGTTATGGGGTCAGTTCGTATCCGCAGTGTATCAAAGGCACTTCACTGATCATGTTTACCCATTGCTACGATTATTGTAATGAAAACATAATGTTAGCTTCTTTTCTTTTTCTTCCTTTTCCGATATCGTGCACATATAAATATGTGTTCTTATTTTTCACATCTCTGTTGTTATTCCGTCTATCCCTAGTCTATCAAAATATTTTTAGTTTGAATATTTAAACTTTAAAACATTTGTACTAATCGACTATGTATGCTTTCCGTTTTGCTATATTTCGGAAGGAGATATCCCACTCTCACAATCCTGTCAATGATACCATGGACCGGCCTACTACGAACAATTTTATGGATGCTATAAGTACTGGAGATACGGAATCCCTGTGGATAAATTTGCTTATACCAAGATCAAAACCAATTGTTGTTGGCGTTCTGTATCGACCTCCGAAAAACAATTTGTTTATCAAGAAATTGTCCAATATTCTTGATACATTAAAAAAGGATGACGAAATAATTCTTTTAGGAGACATGAATATTTGTCTTCTTCGCAAATCGCCACTGGCTAAAAAATATATTGACTTGTTGAGTCTTCATGGGTTTAGTCAACTCATTAAAGAGGCAACACGCGTTACACCTACATGTTCTTCTCTATTGGATCATATTGGTTGTACCAAAGAAAATAAAATAAGTCAAAGTGGTGTCATTGATCTAGGTATTAGCGACCATTATTTTACTTTCTGTACACGGAAAAATGTTAGACTGGCTATAGGTCATCACAGGACTAATGATATCAGATCCATGAAAAAATATACAGAAGAGTCTTTCAATCTTCAACTATCTGTTGTTGATTGGTCACGAATAACTGACTGTACAGATGTAAATGAGGCATGGTCAATATTTCAACATGTTTTTATCTCAAATTTGAATATGATAGCGCCACTGAAATGGATAAGAATAAAACAAAGATCAGAAACTTGGGTGACTAAAGATATTCTTTCCCTAATTCAAGAGAGAAATATAGTATACAAAAAATGGAGGAAAAAAGCAAAAGATGAGAAGCTCTATAAAAGATACAGAGTATTAAGAAATATGGTCCAAAGAGAGGTGAAAAAGGCTAAACTCGTTTACTTACAAAACAAGATAGAAGAAAATAAACAAGATTCGAAAAAACTTTGGCAGAATCTAAAAAGCTTAGGATTGAAAAATAAGAAGCGAAAAGAACAAGAATCTGTCATTAAAATTGATGGGGAATTATGTCATGATAAGATGGCCATCGCTGATGAATTCAATTCTCATTTCACAAATGTGGCTGCCAAATTAGTAGACAAACTCCCCCCTTCCAAAGACTTTTTCAGCGCAGACAATGATTGTATTCGTGACTTTTACGAAAGAAAAGGTGTACGTGAAAACAGCTTCGAGTTATTACCAATCAGTGAACAATTTGTTTTCAAAGAGTTACGTAAGTTGAATGTATCAAAAAGTACTGGGTTAGACTTGATTCCAGCTAAATTTCTAAAAGATGGTGCGAAGGTTTTATTTAAGCCTCTAAGTTACTTAATGAACCTATCTATCTTGACGAGTACTTTTCCAGAGGATATGAAAATAGCAAAAGTGACTCCACTTTATAAAAAGAAAGATAAAACTGATGTTAGCAACTATAGACCTATTAGTGTTTTAAGCGTAGCATCAAAGATTCTAGAAAAATCGGTCTGTGTTCAAATTGAAAGATACTTCAAAGAAAATGATATAATTTATGAATTTCAATCTGGTTTTCGACATGATTATTCGACTGAAACATGTCTAATTCATTTGACTGATTATTTGAGGAGAGAAACTTCCCAAGGGCGCTTTGTTGGTATGGTGCTCCTTGATCTGCAAAAAGCTTTTGATACAGTTAATCATTGCGTCTTATTGAAGAAGTTACAACTAATGGGTTTTGATAAGGCAAGTTTAGATTGGTTTAGATCCTACTTATCTAATCGGCACCAAGTAGTGGCCATTCATGATATTCGTTCCAAACTAATGCCTATAACTTGCGGTGTTCCTCAGGGAAGCATTTTAGGCCCAATTCTATTTTCAAGTTATATAAATGATATGTGTATTTGTATAAAAGACTTCAAACTATTATTGTACGCAGATGACAGCGTACTACTCTATTCAAATCCTGATCCTAAATATATTGAGGAAAAGCTCAGTGAACAGCTGTCTACGTGTGTCGATTGGATGACTGATAATAAGCTTTCTTTACACTTGGGAAAAACAGAAAGCATTTTATTTTGTTCTAAAAGTAGTTCTAAAAAGTCATTTGAATTCAAAGTGACACACAATAATCAAGCAATCAAGAGAAAAGAGTCTGTGAAGTATTTAGGCATTGAGTTGGCTAGCGCAATTTCATTTTCATCTTTAGTAGAATCAGTCGTAAAAAAAGCAAATTCTCGTCTGAAATTTTTGTACAGATATCAAAGTTGTATGGATTTAAAAGCAAGACGTACACTCTGTTTTGCTCTTATTCAATGTTTATTTGACTATGCTAACCCTGCATGGTATAGTAACATAAACAAGTCAGATCAAAAGAAGTTGAAGATTATACAGAACAAAATGGTGAGATTTATCAACTGTTCTGGTCCAAGAACTCATGTTGGCTACAGCGAACTTTCTAAAGCTGGTTTTCTTGAAGTCGACCAAAGATCAAAACAACTCGTATTGCATCATGTGCATAAAATATACCATACTAGGTCGAATCATTATATTCGATCCAACTTCGATCTTGTTACTGACGTACATGATTATAATACAAGAAATAGACGATTCAACTTTAACTTACCTGAAAGAGTAGGTAGTATTGGAAATTCGTTTTATTACAATGCCATAAAACATTGGAATTCCCTTCCCAATGGTGTAAAAGAAATAGGAAACTATGATCATTTTAAGAGGAAATTAAAGGAATACCTAATACTTGACAGTCAGAGAAGAGAAGTGAATGACATGTTATATGATTGAAATTTTTATTCTTCTGTCGGTTCATACTTTTTCATGTTGTATATACTTATGTTTTCGTACGTTATAGAATTTCTACAAATTCATCATTATTTTCCTCTTCTTCCTTCTCCTCTTTTTCTTCTTCTCCTTCTTCTTTTTCTTCTTGTACTTAATATCATTTCTATCATCAGTTTAAATGTTGTTATTATTATCTTTAATAAGTAGTTCTTTTAATTTTCTTATCTGTCTGTAAATATTACTATTTTAACTTATTAATTTTATACATGTCTGTAAGGGACCCCACTGGAAATAAGCTCTCGAGCTTTCGTGGGTTATCCTGTTCAAGCTGACTTTTTTTGATCTGTTATTATTGTATATTGTTGTATGTTGGAAGCTTGTCGAATAAAAATCAATCAATCAATCAATCAATCAGTTCAACTAATTTCAAAATGCTTCAATGCTAGTGGCTGAACTTTGCAAGCTTACAACAATATTATTTATCTAAATGCATTGCACTTTGCATTTTACCACTTACAATCACTGTCAAAATGACACGATCTATCATAATTACTGGGATAACAATTGAGAGATTTATGATCATTATTCATAAACGGATCATATTCATTATTCAGTTTATTTGACACACACACGCACACTGAATGATATATTCCACTGTGTCTTGGCAGGGAATAACACATCACTTTCTTATCACACTCAAACCCAAAGAGATACTTGATACTTCAGAAACTCATCTGTATTTGTATTTGATTGTATAAGATACACATTGAATACCCCCCCCCCCTCGCTTTATCTCTATCTCTCTCTCCCTCTCTCCCTCTCTCTCAACAAGACGTTCAAAATGATACAGATTTCAGTTAGTTGACTTCACTGATAATGTGTACTGTGCTTGCTCTATGTATATGTGTGTGTATGTGTCTACTAATATAATCCGGTAGACTAAGGAATAGACAGGAACATGTTAATTTGTGCGACGGCAGCCAGAACGTGATTGAACTTTTAGGCACTCTTTATTCTACATTACATAGGTGTATGTCTGGCCTTATCACTCGAGCTATTTGGAGCTCGCCCTGATTAGGGCGTACTTAAGGAATGTGATATTGCACAATTTATGTTGGAGCCTCTAAACTACCCACCCCCCCCCCCCTCATCTACCCAAGTCAATCTGCTAAGCATAATAAATGCTCACTCGACATTAGGCTCAGCGCCAAATGATCATTTGTTCATTTTCTGAAAAATACACAAGAGAGGAAGAATTT